CAGGCCGGGTGGCGGAACTGGTAGAAGCCGTCCTGCAGGTCCACCGAGCCGGCCACCAGATCGCCCCCGTTGATCACGATGTCGAGGTCGTCGGGGCCGAGGTCGGTGGCGTCCACGAGGTTGATGGCCGCGAGTGCCTCTCCCGAGGCCAGCACGGTCTTGGGCGGGAGTCGCTGCAGTTGATTAGCCTGCCGAGCGCCCAGCACCATCCTCTGATCCCCGTTCTTCTTTCGCACGAAGAACGCGGAGATGCACGACTCCCGACGGGCCCGAGCACCCACGAGCCCCCGAAGGGCCAGAGCACGAAGAAAGGCCGCGAGCGCAGGGCGAGTGCCGCGCCGGCGGGGGTCAAGCTGAGGGCCCCAGTAGGGCTGCACCAGCGGCTCGTCCTCGGTGAGCTCGGAGAGCGGGCGGACGACGGCCGAGTCGAAGTTGGCCATCACATCCCTGACGCTCTGGGGGGCCACGTCGTCGAGTGGCGTTGAAAAATGTTCCTTGCGTAGGATGTTGAGGCGGCTCGGATCAAAATCGACCACAGTCGTGGACGCGTCGAGGCCGCCGTAGACGTCCCTGGTCTTGAGGAGCTCCTGTAGGGCTCCAGCGCCATCCATGTCAGCGGGCCGATCTCCGAAGGCACCAATCCGACGGCGGATGCGCCTGAGCGCCGACTCTTGAGCGATGTCGGCGCCCCCAGTCCTCTGAGGGGGCCGAAGCACGACGTCCCTCCCAGCACAAGCGGCGGCCATCCCATTGGGGGTCGTGATCGTCTCGACGGCACAGGCCGAACGACGATCAGCGGCGGCAGCACGCTGCGCCTTATACCGAGGCAAAGCGGTACGTTCCCCACGTGGCGGATGCGAGTAGAAGGCGTCCGTGACCGGAAGCGGGAACAAAGGGGGTGGCCCCCGCGAGGAGGAACCCTCGACGGGGGGGCAGCCGCGGTCCAGGGAGGAGGCCATGGCGACGCGGTGTGCCGTCGGCCGCGGCGGGGGCCGCCGCGGCCGGGGGGGGCGCGGAGGCCCCCGGCTCGCTAGCCTGCACCGCCAGGCCCAGGCCCGGCCTTGCCCTTCGGCTTGGCCTTGGGGCGCGGGGGCCTTGCCTCGTCCCTCTGCTCGGTGCGGTACTTCTTGTCCTCGTGGTCGGCCTCCTCCCTGTACATCCTCTCCTGCTTGAGCACGGTGCTCCTCGCCTTCTGCTGGTCGGCGACCCAGGCATCGAACTTGGTGGTGACCGCCCCGCCCGAGTCGTCGAGTCGACTCGAGACCATCAGCTCCAGGCCCTCGAAAGAGGGGTGGCGAGGGCACCGCTTGACCGCCCTCTGGATCTGGAGGCCCCGGCGGCTCAGGAGCTCGAACGAGGCGAGGTTCGAGACGTCCAGCGAGTCGAAGACCAGGGCATGGTGCAGGACCTCGACGATGTTCTTCAGCTCCTGGGCCACAGCACTGCCACGCGCGACGCCCGACTGGGCCACCCAGAAGCCCCAGTAGGACGAGAGCGAGTGCCCAGAAGAGACCACGGCCGCCAGAAACTCGACCAGGGCCTTGGGGCCCTCGAAGGGCCAGTCGTCGACCTCCACGCTCTTCAGCAGGGCCACCAGCTGCGCCAGGGAGACGGTGTGCGCTGAGACGCCCGTCTGCGGCAGCACACGGCGGTCCCTGCCAGGACCAGCCCTCTTCTCCGCCTTCCAGTCGGGCTCGTCGGCGGGCTGGACGTTCTCGGCAGCGACCCAGCCCTCGGCCTCCGACAGCATCACCAGCGCGACGGCGTCGCGGCTGATGAAGCGCTCCGCCGAGGTGATCAGCTCCAGGCTCACCTCCTCCCCGAAGTGGTCGCTCGCAGGGTCGGAGACGATCCACCTGGGGACGTCGACCCCCGCCTGCACCGCGGGGAGAGGGAAGCCCAGCACCTTCGCGAAGTTGCGGCCATCGCGACGGAGGTTGGAGAGGTCGGCGTCCGAGAGGGCTCCGAACGCGTAGACCTGGCCTCGAACACGCTGGGGGAAAGCGGCCGCCCGAGGAAGGGCGACCACCAGGTACTCGTCCAGCTTCAGGAGGTAGATCTCGGCGTCGGGCGTGGCGGCGACCCAGTGCCCCGGCGTAGGCGAGGGAACCAATAAGACCCTGTGGTGCCATCGGAAATTCGGGTCGTCGTCGAACGCGATGCACACCTGGCTCTCGGAGATGTCGAGGGTCTCGGCCCCCGCGCGAGCCATCAGCCTCGGATGGCCCTAGGCCAGGAGGCAGGGGCGGCAGCGCCGTCGCCTG